ATATATATATATATATATGTCATATATATATATATATATATATATATATATATATATATATATATATATATATATATATATATATATATATATATATATATATATATATATATATATATATATATATATATATAATACAATAATAAATCGTTGTCCGTTGTACAAAAAGAGTGCTCAATAACAAATTTAATTGATAGAGCAAAATATACTAATTATAATCTTAAAATTTTATTAATCGCTACACAGTGTTTCACGCTTTCAAAGCGATCTTCAGGCGATACTTTCAGGCTTTTAAATTTTCGGTATCGCCTGAAGATCGCTTTGAAAGCGTGAAACACTGTGTAGCGATTAATAAAATTTTAAGATTATAATTAGTATATATATATATATATATATATATATATATATCAAAACAGCAAAATGCTTAGATTTACATTCTTTTGCTGCGAGTAAACAGAAGCAGAGCGCCAGATTAATAGTAGGGACCAACTTGTAACACAAGCCAAAGCTGAACCTCTACTAGCAAGCCCGGCAACCGGCTATTTAGCAATATAATTCTCGGACAAGGACGTTAATATCCCAGGTACCTTGGATCCCCTATCAATTGGGCAATATCCTGTAAGGATATTCGATCACCATGCTATGAATGAGAAACTCAGTAAATATGTATTAACTTACCATCCATTTCGACTAACAGTTGTATTAAAGTATTCTCCTGTTCATTTTCACCACCAGTTACACCGCTAAAAATTTGAAAGAAAGAGACGAAGAAAACTTAATATAAGTTTCGTGTGAATGATAAGTGCATGCGCACATAGAGGCCTATACCACTACAAATACGCACAGCGGACACCTTGAGCTTCTCCACGTAAACAACGCAACCGCTCATTTTACACAAATATGCCCACAAGAATATTATTCGAATATTACAATATTATAATCTATATTGCAACATATTATAACATTCTACTACTTTAATATAATTACACAGGTGATTATTGAAAATTCTCCACGCTAATTGGTTGCCGTCAGTGCCGAATTAACCATATGGCAGGAGTCCCACCGTTTGCGCTTTTAGATTAAAGTGAACCACATATTCAACGTCATAAACATCTAAGTTAAATGTTTATGCCAAAGATATTCAACGTCATAAACATCTAAGTTAAATGTTTATGCCGAAGATGTTCAACGTCATAAACATCTAAGTTAAAGGTTTATGCCGAAGATATTCAACGTATAAACATCTAAGTTGAATGTTTATGCCGAAGACATTCAACGTCATATAAACATCTCAGTTGATCGTGTTTATGACGTCGAATATCAACGTCATAAACATCTAAGTTGATCGTATTTATGACGCCGAATATCAACGTCATAAACATCTAAGTTCATCGTGTTTATGACATCGAATATCAACGTCATAAACATCTAAGTTGATCGTGTTTATGACGTCGAATATCAACGTCATAAACATCAAAGTTGATCGTGTTTATGACGTCGAATATCAACGCCATAAACACCAAAGTTGACCGTGTTGATGACGTCGAATATCGACGTCATAAGCATCTAAGTTGATCGTGTTTATGACGTCGAATATCGACGTCATAAACACCAAAGTTGACCGTGTTTATGACGTCGAATATCGACGTCATAAACACCAA